CAAATTTCCAACAGAATTTGTTATTGACTTGTAGAGTCTTGCAAGTCCACTTCAGATATCGAAATGTAATAACATTATGCTAAATAATAGTTATAATTCGAACGGAAAACAGTTATTGTTGTGATACATTTTGATTTAAAACAAAACATTATGGCAAGAAACATCATGTGCCAAAACATCTCAAAAATCTTTCGATTGCCTGAATTAGTATGCGATTACTGATCAATACTGTTTCAATAAATTATTTCATTACAAGAATATTTAGATGAGATTTACTTTACAACAAGCATGGCTTAAAATAGAGAGAAAACGGTATGTTAAAAAAAATTAAGTCTGTATTTCAATATTTAGCGTAAAATATATGCAAATAAATTTTTAAAACATAAATGTGAACCACTGTAATAAGATACTTTCATTTTAATACATACTTTTTCACATCAGTGTGTTCCTATTCGACTTTCTAAATCAATACCAACATACTCAAACTTTTTTTTTCTTTCCCTCCCCCCCCCGAGTATAAGCCTGCTTTTTCTTCGTAAAATACTTTACACCCTTCTTCTTCAAATAATAGTTTAGAGAAACTATTTGACTTTTAAATACTTCATTTATGTATTAATCATGTATTTACTCATTCAATCAACTGTTTATAAAATGAATTATTAAAAGAACTTGTTGGCTGATAGAATGCTTGTAGTTTTACTACAAGAAAGGAAAATTAATGCAGATATCTACGGAAAGCAAAGAATTATTTTCATTACTTCCTATCCAAATAGATATATAATACAAGCAACGAAGTGCTTTATTTGCCTTCTTTTTCTTTTCTTTAGCCCAAAGGGGCGGTAGCCCAGAACGGCTATTAGTCTCAAAACGGCATTTTGTGACGTTTCACTATAAACGGAAAATCACTTTTTAAAAGCTAGTTACCTTCTAGATTAAATTTGAAAAGATTTTTTCTACTTTTTGATGTGATTGATTTAATAAATGTGTGTTAAAACAAGAAAATGTTTAATTAGAGGTATTCAATATTTTTATGAAATTACACTAGTTGGACTCGTTAAAATCATTATTTTCTATTTTATGATGCGCGGCTAATTTTTAAAGATATAATATAGTGAATATGAATATATGCATGGCAACTTCTACCACTCTATCGGGAATTCTAAAAATATACTATTTTTAAATATTTCGGGATTTTGCCGTTGAATAGAATTGAATGTGGCGTACGTGCGAAAAATATGATATTTAATAAATAAAGTTAATAATCAAATGACGATGTTTTAAATTTTTTTATTTTGTTATTATTAGTTCAATGCCCAGGAGGACTATTAATTTCGTTTTGGCATTTTGCGTCGATTCAGGATAAGCGTTGTTTCACTTTCAATATGCCAGAAATATTATGCCCTGTATTACTTAAGAAATTAATAATGAAGAACTGCATGAATGTATGCAGTTCTCCCATGTGATAAACAACGGTACTTAAGCCAGCAAAATTCAATAACGTATCTTCCTAATCAAAAACGGGCAGTGGAGCCCTAATTTGAATTTGAAGAACACTTCAACGATTTTTCGATTAACAAACAAACGTTTCAAAGTGAAAAAGCAACACTGTAGGTGTTTTTTTTTTTTTTTTTTTGTTTTTTTTTTTTTTTTTTTACTTCCACGCGCGAGACTGTACGGAATTCTAAAGTAGTATTTTAAATTATTTGCGATTTGCGTTGAACTAAATTTGGTTTAATCGAAGACTGTAATATAAATACACAAAACGCACAAAATTTTAAAAACCCCCCTTTGCGTAATTTAAAATCTGAAACCTTTCAGATTTTCATTATTATTATTATTATTATTACTGTGATCCATCGTACTACGAAAACTTAATACTGAGATGTGAACTGAAAACAGAACGAAAAAAATATATATAAAGACATACTACTGCATCATTCTCAATACGGAATAACTATTAAAAAACTACCTAAATTAAAAATTTGTAGATTATGAAAAACTAACCCATTCATATCAATTATTAGAATGGAATTAATGCTATGTACTTATGAAACAGATAATAGGGGGATATTTTGCCAAAATGTGTTTTGCAGAATGCCGCTTTCCCTCAAAACAAAATTTTCAGCTGACAGTTTGCAATTAAAAAAAAAAGGAGGAGTAAAAGTAAAAAAAGAAAAAAAAAAAAAGTTACAGAAAAATCGGTACTTTTCCGTTTCGCCGGCGCAAATCTCGCCAAGCAGACTTTATTGGCGACAACAGACAGTATACACATAAAAAATATTTAAAAAAATCTTAGTTCTAAGATTCATTTTTGAAGGCCTAAACATTTTAATATCGCTTTAAAACTTTATAAAAAGCCGATAAATAAGACATAAATTTGTAAAAAGACATTAGAATTTACTATGCTTTCATGGTTCAAATCTAATTCCCGGTTTTATCACGTGCCCCCAAGCTATCTCATCTCACGTAAACTACTCTACAAAAAATCTAATGCTCTCAGTAATTATCTACATTAATTTCAAGTTAAATCTTAATTTGGAACACAAGTTTAAATGCAAGAAATATTTCAATTCGTACGAATAGCTACTACTTAGAAATTATGTAAAACTGCATGCTTTACTTCGCTAATGTATCCTTATTAGAATTGATGAATTTAACCCTTGACTTTACCTTTTTCTTATTTTCGCTTCGGGTAAAGCTGGATTGCATCCTAATGATAACTACTGAAATGGCCTTAGACATAAACTGAACTATCTGATAAAATTCTATGTAATTATATGCCAGTATTGAAAAAAACAATCAATCTGATAAGAAAAAGCTGCGACTTGTTTTGAAAATGAGGCGTAAAAGGTTACCAGCGAGAATATTCCTTTTGGCATCGATTGTACCATTATTGCGCCGGCAAAACGGAAAAGTACCGGAAAATGTTACCTTACTGTATTTGGTTAATAAACGGTTAATAAAAATAAAATATATTAGTAAAGTAAATGAAACAAATAAATTAACTTTAACTAAACAAATTAAAATTAATTAAATTAGTATTACTAAGTTAATAGTTTGAGTTACAACAGAATTACTCTTGACTCATCACTCTGTTTTTGTGACTCCCACAGTACAGTAACGATGCAATTTTTATAAAAATTAGTGGCATTTATTAAAATATAATTCACACTAATTGCTAGTAAACAGATCTGATACATATTCATATGAGGGTTATCCTGTTTTGGAAGAGAAGCATCCGTGAAGAACTTTCTAAATGAAACAATCTACAGTAATTTTAATTATTTAATTGGGTGAAAAATAAAACATATCCTGAAACAAAACGGTTTACCTATGGCGAAATATTTAAAAGAGAAAAAACAAGAATAATTCTTCGGTACAATGAAAACACACAGCTAAATAAAACTACGCTCTAATCAAAAAGCAGAAAATGCAAAAATCGATTAATCGTTGATTATCTTATCATTAAGCTGGAAAACTACGCAAAACACCATAGGCAACTGAAATTGGAGCAGAATTACTCAAACTTGTTTGACTCGCAAACCCTGTAACCATGTTTCCGTCATTTCCTCAGAATAGTTATAATGTAATTTTCGAAAACTACAATTTAGTTACAATATTTATTACAAAATTAAAAAAAAAAAAAAAAACTTCGAAAAATATGTAAATATAACAAAATGTACGCTTAATCATATGGCTGAAGCTATGAGTCATTTGATTAAACGCACACACAGAAAAAGAGCATAATATTATATATGTATACAAATAAAAAAAAAAAATCAGTTGCTTTATTATATTTCAGCGACTCTTAATAAATAACCTCTTTCACGGAAATAAGCCGCGACTTCTACTTAAAAAGCACCACAGCTCTTAAAAAAAAAAAAAAAAAAAAAAAAAAACCTTGGGGCAATAATCTTAAACGTTAATTGATAAATATCGCGATATGATGAGTTTATTAGAGGAACTAATTAAAAATAATATGATAATCACTAAAATCGCCCAATTTCTATAAATTAAAAGTTGGCTAAACGAGCGTAAACAGTAACAGCATTTCATAACGTAAACGCTAGTATTTATTTTTAAAAACTTAAATTTTACCAAATCATTAATGTTAGTTTCAGTTTCAGTTTCATTCTGAATGAATAACTAATAACCTGTACGATATTAATATAATTGATTTTACAAACTGAATATTTATATTTTAGCATTACAAAAATTACTAAATAAAAATTAAATTTAAAAAAAAAACCGATAATTATAAACTTTTCTTTCAAAACTAAATAACTGTGTTTTTTTTAAACTTTTTAATGGTATCATAAGAATATTTTTATGCATCTAAAACTGAGATTTTAATTTTAAAAAAATATCCACAAATTACAAACAAATAAAAAAACAGAACCAGAAAAAAAAAATTTCACATACTGTCATTTAAAATTAAGTAAACATTATTGCAAAACTTTTCAAATTTTAGTAATATAATATACATAAGAAATATTTTATAACGCTCATGAAATGTAAGAATCTAATTTTCTGAAGGATATTTCATGCTCTTTCTGAAGTGAAAAATAAAAATGAAACATGACGCATTAAATACTAAGACGTAATGAAACAAACATAAAAACATCTGCTTCCAGACACATACTTAAACTTTTGTCTACATAAACTTAATAACAATTTTTGATATTTATTTCATATTTCAAAGAGTAATTGGTTGTACGTCATAAGCAATAACCACGTGCGATTGTTTTCGTAACTCAGCTGTCAGTGCACTTTGACAGGCATCAATAATATCTTTAATCCCATTTTCTAAAAATCCGGGAATTAAACTGATATCATGGCGCAGAATTTAAACGCCTTTGGTATTGTGAATAACATGACAAGAAACTACTGTATAAATATACAGTAGGTTTTCATCAAAAAAAATTTTTTAAACGTTAGTAGTAGATACATATCGATTTCTCTACACCTACAAAAGTGATTTCTATGTATAATAATCTTACTTGATACATGCAGAAAGAGCTATTCTGTCTCCATATTCCAAAAGTTGTATTTGTTAAACCCCATGCAATTTCAGGCATCCTTTTCAAAGGCATTAATGCCATCACAACACTTTACACGCTCAAGACAGCGTCCGCACTGCTCTTATTTAGACGGACCGCAAGCCACATTTGGCGCACATCGTATGAACTTGATGTATGTCTGTTGGAATTTCCGTTGCCATTCGCGTCTTCTTATAATAACTACGAAAATATTCCCTTTCTTCCACCCCAAAAAAAACCGAAACTATACTTTTTTAAAAAACATTTATTCTTGACTATTCCTAATATCACATATTCTTTTTATTTTAATCATGTTTAAAATCGGAACATAAATTGTAACGCTGACATCCTTTCTTCGCCCATTTCAGTATCTTCTAAAGTATCAAACTTATTCACTGATATATCAATATCTAAGTATTAACGCTTTTGCTTTTGCATTCACATCATTAATGGGTGATATCAAGGGGTAATTGAATTAATGAGTAAGATCGCTTATTTTTAAAGGATTACTTCTACTTTTATAATGACTTACTGCATACTTTTTGATTTACCACATATTATTGTTAACAACTTAAACTGCACACATCAGAATGTTTATATATTACAAGAAACATTTTTAAATTACGTCCCAATTTTTTTTTTTATTAGTATTATTATTTTGCGCAAACACGAAGCTACCCATATAATCCATGTATCTTTGTTGTCAATCTGTGGCCATCGCCGTGAAATTTGTTTGATTTTCGAACAAAAAATGAATCTCTCTAAAATATTCTTCATTTCCGAACTTTTTTCGTCAAATTAGATTACATAAAAGCTTTTAACAGTTAACGCTTTTATGGCATATTATTTTATCTTTAATACAGCCAGAAGTTCATACTAATGTTCAAATATGCAATCTTGCTTCATTGATTTCAAGTATTTTTATTATATGATCTCAATAATTTTAAGTGTCATGTTAACCATAAAATTTATCGGTAGCTGTGAAAATGATAAAAATTTACCTGTCATTATATGGTGGACGAATTTATTGTACCCTCATCAAGGTAGTAAATCCGTAATTAAATGTAATTCAGGCAAATGTATTTCAAGTATGAAAAAGTATAATTTGAATGACAGCAATGTCTATGCATATATGTTTTACGGAACAGATTTCGACAGTTCGGATTTGCCCTTTCCCAGGAAACAGAATCATTTATGGACTTTACTACATGAAGAATCTCCAATGAATAATTATATTTTTTCTCATATAACAGGTATAACGTTATTTAATTATACCAGTACATTTTCACGTTACTCAGACTACCCTCTAACAACCCAGTTCATACCGTCATTAGAGTATTTTACAGAAAGAAAAGGCATCCCTATAGATGAGAAAAACAAATTTAGGTATCAAGGTATTGCTCCTGTTATGTACTTACAATCTCATTGTAATGTAGCTTCAGATCGTGATAGGTATGTGAAAAACCTTATGAATTTTATTAAAATAGATTCGTATGGAGCCTGTTTACACAATAAAAATTTACCATCTCATCTTCTGTCAACTGAAACTTATAATGATGAAGAACTCTTTTCTTTCATATCGAAGTATAAGTTCCATATAGCTTATGAAAATGCTCTGTGTGATGATTATATCACTGAAAAAATATTTCGAGCTCTGTATGTTGGATCAGTGCCTATATACAAAGGTGCATCTACAGTCAAAGATTGGATGCCTTCAAATAAATCTGTGATAATTATCGATAATTTTGATAATCCAAAGGAACTAGCAGATTTTATATCTAATTTAGATAAAAATGATGATTTATATAATGAATATTTGCAATTTAAAGAAACGGGAATTACGAATGAGTTCTTGAAACAGACTTTGCTTAAAAGAAATTGGGGTGTGAATGATGTATATAAAATTGATTTCATTCGAGGTTTCGAATGTTATGTATGTGATAAATTACATGCACTAAACAAATCAACATCTTTAAATATTGCCAATAGGAAACATATGAACTGTCCTCAGCCTCATATGTCGATTATTTCTGATAATGAAATTATAACATATGATGATGAGTAAGTATAAATAATAGATTGAGTTTATTATCTATTATGCATATGAGAATGTGCATGTGTGTGTCTGTATATAAAACTTTTTTTTTTTAAGCATACTATACAGATGCTACTATAAAAACCTCAAAATAAGTAAAGCTGGTAAATCCTAGCAGTTGTTGTGGTGAGGTGCTAATCCTAATATTTACTATAATAATCACTCGGCTAATCTTTAGAATATGGTAACAGGTAGTTTGGCTACATTTTGGTAAGGCGATAAAGGTTACTAGCTAGAACTTTAGCAATAATCTGAGAAGTACACATTTCGAATCACAGATTATTTTGTCTCAGAGAAAGAGAGATCATGAGACATGTAATGTGACATTTTCCGAAAATCCAATCGGGATGAAGCTATTAAGCACTTAGAACAATTCGCTGCTAAAGTCAGATCGTCCACTATTTGTTTGGCGCTTTTTACATGACTAAGAAAATTGATTTTTTGTTCAATTTTCTTTGACTTGTTAATGAAAATAGGTCTATGGTGGTACATGGATAAAAGTCCAGCGTGTGCGCATTCCATTTTTTTGGTGGCAATCTTAGATATTTTTGTCAAGTGAAAATAGGTGGACGTGTCATGGATAACTCTGTAGATGCACTTCTTAAAAACGCGGCAAGCAGTGGGGTGGCAATTCCTACACTTTCTCCCGATGTCGCACCCATCGTCGCATGATTACGCAACTTTTGTTCCATAACGTTCTACATAAGCGTAATTCGGCTAGCAGATTATTGAAAAAATTGTTGGAGTAAAAAAACATGCCTTTACTTCGTGAAAACAAAATGGCGTCCAAAACAAAACTAGCAGGTTGCTGTAGCAGGGTTGGTCGCCAAATCTTAGACAAAAAAATCGCCAAGTTACCATAATCCAAAGATTAACCAATGACTCTAAAAGATGATTGTAAATATTTCCATTTCAGTAGATGCCAGTTTTTATCAATATCATTTGCTGAAATACAGTATTTATTTACACAATTAATGAAAGTTCATGGTTAGAGTAGACTGACGGGTACCTCTTCTATTATCGCAAAGTTGTTTCATTTATGGTAACTTGAGTAGTTGAATGTTCTGTAAATATACTTTTACCTAGAACTAAAGTAAAGGAATGTGTACATGAACAAAGTCAAGGGAGTGCGCAATGCCAAGTTTGTGCAATTCTCTGATGTTTTTTTGAGTGAAAATAGGTTGATGTATACATGGATAAAGTCAAGGGAGTACGCAGTGCCTAGTTTGTGCAATTCTGTGATATCTTTTTAAGTGAAAATAGGTCAAATATGTACATGGATACCAAGTTTGTGCAATTCTTTGACTTGTTATTTTGTCTTTATGTAGCCGAGATTTTAGTGCCAAAAAGCCAAAATAACAAGTCAAAGAATTGCACAAACTCGGTATCCATGTATCACCAATTTTCACCAAAGGGGTATCTGTAAATACACTACAAAGTTCATTTGACTATGGTATTGCTTTTAAAATGCAATTTCTCACTTATTTAATAAAAGTTGTTATGGTAAAAGTTCTTTATCGGGTACAAGTTGGCAGTTTTGGAGACTTTTTTTTAAAAAAAATCACCAACTACAGAGGCTGTTCACACATTTTTTAGACGACGTATATTGTATTCACAAAACTAAATTACATAAAATTCTTGTGTTTTAAATGTTCTATTGACATCCCTTATTATAAACTATCTTTCGACCCGCAATTTCCAGGATAATAATTTCCTTTGAGGGCAGAAGTGGTATTCAATCCCATTCCTCCCGAACAGCTTTCCAGAGTCCTGTTAGGTTTGGGGGACAACGTTTGGATAATGCAGTTTTTAAAAGTCCGAAAGCACAAAAATCCATAGTGACACCGGGAGATTTAGTAGGATATCAGTGAAGGTTATGCCTTGATATCAGTTTTTTGTTCCATTTCTTTTAGGAATTTACAGTAGATTTTGATGTGTGACTGCTAGCTTTGTCCTGATGAGTCTCACAGATGATGGCACTGTGGGTAAACGATGGTATTTCATTCAGAAAAATTGGCGATAAAATATGTTCCTGATAGTATTTGGAGTTATCTTGACATTTTTTTGCACTCTCTTTTTTTAACTTTGCCATTATAAAAAACCAGCAACAATCTGAATCCCTTAGAAAAACTTTTTTTCTCTTCTTTAACCATGTACTTAAATTGTTTCTCCCCCTTGTGATAATAAATGGTGTACTTTTCCATTTCGCCGGCACAAATCTCGCCAAGCAGACTTTATTGGCGACAACACAGTATAACATAAAAATATTAAAAAATTTTAGTTCTAAGAATTTCTTTTTTTGAAGGCAAAACATTTTAATATCACTTAAAACTTTAAAAAGCCAATAAATAAAGACAAAAATTTGTAAAAAGACTTAATTTAAGAATTACTATGCTTTCATGGTTCAAACATCCTAATTCTCCGGTCATATCACGTGACCCCAAGCGGTCTCATCTCACGTAACTACTCTACAAAAAATCTAATGCTCTCAGTAATTATCTACATTAATTTCAAGTTAAATCTTAATGGAAACACGAGTTAAATGCAAGAAATATTTCAATGCGTACGAATAGCTTATCAGAAATTATGTAAACTGGTGCTTTACTTCACTAGGCATTCTGGTACTTACGTATTTAAGCAACCAGGTTTGGCAATTTGTAAGTTTGAAGTAAAAAGGTATGAATAAAGAAAATGTACATTTATAATCACAGATAATTTTTAATACAGTTTTTTATATTATTTGTTTTAAAATATAATAGCAATTAAACCTTCCGTTTCGAATTGAATAAGTTGCAGATTATTTTTCGCGAAAATCTTTTGGCTATTGCTTTGCACTGATTGAAAACCGTATTCGCCATACCATGTACACGTCGACTTATTTTACTTAAAAAAAACATCCAGAATTGAAAAAATAGCATTGCCACACTCTTGCTTATCATTACACTGCTATTTTCATAAATTACAAAAATTTGCACGAAAATGCAGGAAAATTTGTGAATCTCCACATGCTCTTTTACAAAACTTGTATAACACGTAGGGTTGCCATAAGTAGGGTCGCCAAATCGATTTATGCGAATTTTGCCTGGTTAATACGTAAGTACCGGCATTCTCATAGATTGATGAATTTAACCCTTGACTTTCCTTTCTATATTTTTGGCTTCGGGAGAGCTGTGATTGCATCCAATTCTTAATTACGAAAATGGCCTTAGACTAAAACTGATATATCTGATAAAAATTCTGTGTAATTTATGCCATATTGAAAGAAACATCAATCTGATAGAAAAAGCTGCGACTGGTTTTTGAAAATGAGGCATAAAAGGTTCCCAGCGAAAATTCCGTGGCATCGTTTGTACCATTATTGGCGACTTTATCGCTTGCGCCGGCAAAACGGAAAAGTACCTAAATGGCTTTTTTTTTTTGTTACAATCAATTAAATACACACATGCTTCATCTATTGTGACAATTGTTTTCAATTTTTCTTTCGATTTCTCATATAGAATTTTGCAGCGTGTTCTGCGTTGAGCAATGTGCTTTGTAAGAAGACGATGCACATTGCGTTTTTTCGCTTTATTAATATTTAAAACAACGTTTATCATTTGGTTTACAGTGGACACCGAGCATTTTAATGATTTTGCAACTGTTCTTTGACTAGGGGGATTTTCTTTTAACATTAAACAACGTACCTTTGCAATAGTCGAAGATGTCCGTTTTTTCCTTGGATACTTGTTTGGAAATTTTGTCCCACTTGAGGCTCAATTTGACGTTTTTTTTTTCCTTTTTTTGTTGAGGATATTACCTATCGACGCTTTAGATATCACAAAACCATGACTCTCACATCGTTTTTGGATAACGGAGTATGCATATTTCTCATCGGAAAGAGCGTAAATGTAGCCTTCGAATCACTGCTTTGTTAAATTCGCCATTTTTAATAAAAACAAAACTTTCAAGCCACAGATGATAATTTTGACTTTTAAAAACATAGTACAATTGCAATTACTTCTTTTGCAGCAAACAATTTTTTATTACCGCTTATCAAAATTGTCTAAAAAATGTGCGAACAGCCTCTATATTGAAATTTTTTGTCACCTGGAAAGCATTATAGCTATAGCCAAAAAAAAAAAAAAAAAAAAAAAAACTTCAGCAATTTAAAATACAAATTTGAATAATTAGCTAAAGATTATATATATATGTATGTAACATATTACTATTGCTGTCTCCATGTGCACAGTGCCCTCCATGTGCCAAATTTATGTAATTCTATGATTTATTTTTAAGTGAAGAGACATCACTGTGTACAGTGTCAAATCCAGAAGGAGGCTGAGGTCATAAAAATTTTGTATCATCCTAAAGCCTCCAAATTTTACTGGCGTGAACAAAGATGTTTTCGTAATCTATTATCATAAATTCATATAAAGTTTGGTATTACTCGATTATCATGGTCCTCATTATCAAAATGGTACGAAGATTGTCACCAAGTTTAAACTACTTACATATAGTTTGTGGCATCCCTATATCTGGGAATGCTTTTAATATAGCATGAAAAGGCTTATCCTTGCCGTCATCTGAAGGATTTCCTTTCACTGAATTCAAAAAGATATGACTCTGATGTTGAACCATACCTCTTTGCTTTTTATTTCGGCATTTAACAGAACCCCATAATCTTTCCACAATTTAGGTGTGAGCAACCGTTGTCGGATCAACAAAATTAAATGAACAATTAACAGTTAAATGGCTGTAACCAGCCTTTTTCAAGCTCATCAACAATCTGAATATATTGTCGATCTTTCTGCTATGTGGTGTACAATGTTTTATATCAATATGCTTCCTTCAGAATTTGGAACCTGAACAAGAAAGGACTCACCACTTTCACAGCCTAACCTGCTGAATATCCACTATTGTGGAAGTACTTTGCCAGCGTTGTTTCTTTGATGCACGAATGAACTCTCGTCAGTTTCAGTTATTATTT